TGGGCCGCCCCGCCGGCACTTCACGCCTCCCCTCTCTTTCCCAAGGCTTCACCCAGAAGACGAGGAAGGTCCGCTGTGGCGCGGAGGCCATCTTTGGAGAGGTGAGGGCAAACCGTGGGGGTAGGCGAGGCCCCGGGGCTCCTCCGCAGGTGTCATCCAGAAGACATGGGAGCATCTCGATTGATGCCTGGTGGGGCAGGAGGAGGTAGCAGGGGAAGCAGGGACAGGAGTGGGGCGGGCAGTGTCACTGCTGGTGCCCATCACACCCCTGAGGCCTGTAACGGCCCAGCTGTGCTGCGTTGGCGGGTGGCTCCCATAGCTCGTATCCAGTCCTGTCCAGATGCTTCTGCGCCGCCTGCGAAAAGGAGGAGAATGCCAGTGGGCAGGAGGCTCACGGCCCTGGGTGATCTCTTCTCCCCACATGCCTCTGTACTTTAGCATGCCTGGTCTCATCCCACAACCTGCTTGGGGGACTTCCGCAGGCACAAGCAGTCTCCTCTTTCCAGGGTGATGATGCTCTGACTTCTTCAGGAGCAGCTCTGTGCTGCTTGAGCGGCTCTCACTCCTCTCCCCATCCTTCCTCCATTCCCAGCTGTAGGGCCTACCCTGGCCTGCAGGAAAGAACTTCCCACCGCAGCAGCTTTTTTGTCATGCTAGTTGGTTCGGTCACCTTGCAGAGGGGGGCAACCCAGCCACCACACATGGGAAAGTGTGGCTGGGAATGAACTGTTACTTCTTCCTGCTCTGTTTGTAGCTCTTTTGCTGGCCTCACTATGGGAAGCTCATCATGGGAGAAATGCTGTCCATTAAGGTTTACAACTGCAGCAAGGTTTTCAGTAACAGGTAGGTGTTTTGGTTGTTGGGGTGACCAGCAGAGGTGGGGGAAGAGTTATACTGGGCTTTAAATTTCCTGCTGGAGTAGAAAATATTTATTGGAAATTTAACGGGATGAAGATGAGCAGGATACAAGTTACACAAGAGGGATAGAGCTGGTTGTTCTGTATTTTTTAATATGTACAGTTGGCAGTGCTGAATATATTAAGTTAAATAAGAGGAGTATTTTAGTTGTGCTAATAGTAACAGAGACTACCTAAGGATCCAAATCAGACCCCTAGGTGGGGCAAAGGTGGAATAAGGCCCTAAAAAATAGGGCTACAAGGGGAGGATTTGCAGCAGAGTGGGGACCTGCTCTCACCCTGTAGATGCACGTGGTGACTGTGATCAGGCTGCACCCAAATTCAACATGCTTATCAGCAGGGAAAAGCTCTAAGACTGTGGTAGTATGGTTTAACCTTTAAAAAAAGACAGTAATTTAAATTTAAAGGGTCAGCCAGAATTTAAAGTGGTGGTACAGACACAACACTGTGAACTAAGCAGCTATTCCAGCAGTTGTAAAACAATTCAGGGAAACCTAGGAGTAAAGGTGACATTGAGTAGTGGTGGTAGGGCGAGCAAGCAAGGGAAAGATGCCAGCTCTGATAAGCAAAATGTAAGAACCGCAGGAAAAGCAACAGGAACAACTTAGTAGAGGCAGCTAATAATACAAAAACTTTGAAAGCCATCATAAGCCTGCCAGAGAGGGTGTGGAGGAAACAGATGAGTACAGCACATGTGAGACACTTAAAACCAGAGCAGAAAATGTGACTGAACTTTGCGTTACTCTCTGCTGGATGCTTTCCTTATGGGAGCTGGATCATAGGAATTCTCTCTAACGGCAATGTCAATAGAAACTGCTATAGGACAAATAGACAAAACAAACAGTAATGAATCATCAGGACCTGATGGCGCTGAGCAAAGAAGTCTAAGGGGAAATGACTGGACTGGCACTGACAGTATCTATCCGCACAGCTCTGCTGCTGGGGAGCAGAGTAATGGCAGATGACAGACATTACAGTTTGAAAGCAGTTGGTCATCAAAAATAAATAGTGTGCAAGGATGGAAGGGAAAATTATGTTGTGCCACTATATCAATCTGGTTTTTGGACTTCTATGCATGTAGCCTTTCTGTAGCAGGAGCATCAAGCTGGAAAAGCTGGAGATGAGGGGCATGAGCAGAGAGACTCCTTCCTTGAGCGTAGGAGAATAGACAGGCTCTGCATCTCAGAGAAGAGGAAAATGAGAAGGAATACCAGGGATCCTCCTGTCTTGGTCCTGGGCAGGCAGTGAAATGCTCTGATGGTGGTTTTCAGCAGGCAGTAGGAAGCTGTGCTTCCTGTGGGGCTTAGCTTGGCTGCTGGCAGAGCTGCCACAGGGAGATTTGATTCTGTGATACAGCTAAGCTACAATTCTGTGATTCCATAAGATGGAGGCCAACATACAAATGGGCTCTAGAGAGCAGTAACGCAAAGTGGGATTAGGAGCAGCTGAATGTGATCCTGCACGTGATACTGCCACTTGTAGAGAGTAGGGATGACCCTTCCCAGGGAGAAGCTCCCTTGGAGTAGGTGAGTTTTGTCATGACTCACTGGAGATGTTCCTGTGGTCATGGCTTTATCTCCTATTTCTTTATTTCCTTGTGTGCAACTTGTGCTTCCCAGTTTTGTCTGGGAGGAGTCACTCCAGCTCTGCCAGGTGCCCAAATGTAGTCTGGCTCCTGTGAAGCCGAGCTCTGCTGAAGGGGAGAACTCCCTCACACTCGGTGGGACTGGATCTGCACGCGCCTTTAACCGTCGACGGCAGCTCAGTTGCAAGTAGCTGCCTGGGCATAACTGGGGTGGAGGCACAACCTGCTGCAGGGTCGGTGGGTCTTGGGTATTGCAGCTGCCAGACTCCCTGTGGAAAGACCTGCAGCAGTTTGCTGCCTTCACTGTAGGTTGGAGGGGCTGTGAGCAAGAGAGCGGGGATCCTAGTCCTCCCTTCCCCCAGGGTGTAGACACTGATGCTATATACAGTATTGCTGCAGCTCTGGTTTTGTTCCAGGCTTCTTGGTACCCTTGTCCTCAGCCTTCAGCACCTGATGACATCTGGGAGGCTGATTCTCCGGGAGGCCCTTGTTGATAGGAACCACAGAGTCACTGATGTAAGTCCTCCATGTGCAGCCTGGCTATCACTAATCAGGAAGGCTTTGGGGGAAACCTTGCATGGCGCTTCCCAGGTGGATTTGGGGCTGAAGTAGAGTCCAAGGTGCTGTTTTGAGCCTGGGAGCACTGCGACATTTGTGCATTCTCTGCACAGGAGTGCCACTGCTCCACACCCGTCAAGTGGTTCTAGGAGCACCCAGAAGGACATAGGATGGGCTGGGTGCCCTGGAGACCTGCCAAGGGTCTGCATGACCAGAGGGAGGCTTAGTAAAACCTGCCCAGATCTGGGTGGTGGATGTAGGACGTGGTATTTCATCTACTTCATGCACTGCACAGTGTGTGGGCGTGGGCTGCTGCAGAGTGAGAACCAGAGGAGAGTTAACCAGGTGAGGCTGAAGGTGGCAGGGTGCCTTGGGAACCCTGCTGAGCTTTTAGGTTAAACACCACTGCTAACTGGATGACTTAGTGGTGGTCCAAGCCCACGTGAGTGGCTCTGACAGCTGCCTGCCCTTCTGCTCTGTGCCATGGTTTCCACTCCCCTCCCACCCTAGAACTGGGGCCTCACAGCACCCAGCATGGAAAATGAATGCAACCCAAAAACGAGCTGTTTCCTGCCAGATGGGTGTGCAGGTATGGTTCAGTGAGTGCTGAGGACCAGGGCTCTGTGCCAGGGCCATGGGCAGGGACAGGAGGAGGAGAAACGGTGGGCGGGCAGTCCTGCAATGTGCTGTGCCCCTGTTTGCCATCCTCACAGGCAGCCTGGCACACCCCTGTACATGGGATGCCGCTCTGTGGCCACCAGACCACGAGCCCAAGTGGCACAGGCACAGCCTTCCCGAACTGCTGAGCTGGCTGGATCAGGGAGCAGGTCCAAGTGGAACAGGTCCAGGTCCATCCTGAGCATTTCCAGGGTGATTTTTACCCTGATTAGAGCTCACCACATAAATATCCATGCCAGCAGAGGGACAGGGACTAGACCAACCTTTCTGCAGCAGTTGCCATGCTGGCAGTGGTTTGAGGGGACTGAGCTAGGGGCACTTACACTGCTGTAAGGTCAGAGCTGCTCTGCAGCCCAACCCTTTGCTCCTGGCTGCCTCTTTCATCGTGCTAACAGCAGCACTCGTGCTGATGAGCCACTCCAATCCAAAACCAACCGCATTTGGTTTTACGTGGCCAGGTTTTTGATTTTGTGGCCCTGGCTGCAGAGGAGCTGTGGGAGACAGAAATAGGGCAGGCAAGACTGGACACCTATCTGAGAGCACTCAGAGACCCTTTCCCTTGGGTCAGCAGGGAAGAGACACG